TGCGCCCTGCGCCCTGCGCCCTGCGCCCTGCGCCCTGCGCCCTGCGCCCTGCCCTGCCCTGCCCTGCCCTGCACTGCCGTGCCCCATGCCAGGAGCAAAATAGATTTTTTTTGATCTGTGAATAGTTTTTTTTTGATCCTCGGAAAATAGTTTTTTTTTGATCCCTTAAATCGTTTTTTTTGATCCCTCACCCTAAATCAGAGGGATTAAAAGGTTTTCGGCCGAAAAATCATTCAAGCGTAGACTTCGCATCCTAAAAAAATAACGTCACAACAAGCTTAATCCAAATTCTTGTGAAATACAAGAGAAGCCCAGGGCGTAGAGGCAGACACGATGCTGCCCATTGCGGCGCGCTTCCGCGAGGAGGACTGGGAGGCTCGGGAAGTTTAGGCTCAAAGGGGCCTGGGTTCCCTTCCCTTTCGGTTTAGGGGTTTAGGGTTTAGGGTTTAGGGTTAAGGGTTTAGGGGCGCAGGGTTGACGGTTGAAGGTGTGTAGGGTTACGGTTTAGAGGGTTCCTTTCAAGTTCTGTTGAAGCATTTTGCTGATGGGCTGTTGGTTGCACGGTTTGTGGAATGGGTTTGACGATTGATTGCTCCTTGCCCTTGGGTTGGGATATCTGGGGGTGCAGTTGGTTTGGGTGAAACCCTAAACCCTAAACCTTAACTCCAAAAAGGCTCCAACCAAAGCCCTCAAATGCCGAACCCCAAACCGAACAGCCGGAGCCCCCAACCCTGAACCCAAAACTCCAAACCCCCAGGGGCTCGGAAGCCCTGCCCCTTAACCCAAACCCAGCTCCCCCCCCAAAACCCTAAAAGCTGAAGCATACAACCCTAAACCCTAAACCCTATTTGTGAAGTGCCTGGCACCACATGCGCAGCCTATGAGTGTTCTGGTACAGTGTAAGCCTCTATAGGGGCAGGCCGGATCGCACAGACAGAAAAGGTCACTACACATTAAAACAAGAACCCTAAACTCTAAACCCTACACCCTATTCGAAGCCCACAATCCTTCAAGCCTCCACCAACCTCAGATCCAGGCAGAGCTCCAAGCGTGGAAGAGGAAGTACGGATGTCCGGACGTAACCACCTCGGGCATTTTCCGCGTGGTCGGGCTTCTGGGTTCAGGCAAAAAAATGGGGCCTTAATAATAGAATAGGGTTTGGGGTATGTTATACTATATATAGTTATCATGAGGAACCCCAAAACCCTACTCTAATCATCAAGGCCCCTACATTACGGGCTTCGGGGTTGAAGGCCTGACGGGTTGGGCTCCAGGCTTCAGGGTTCGGGATGTAAATCTCAGGATTTACGGGTTTAATTTGGGGGCCTAAGTAATTACCTATACTAGTTTCGGGGGTTCCTTAATATAATTATAGTCTAATATACACCAAAACCCTCTTCTAATGACAAAGGCCTCTACATTAAGGTGGTGGGTTTCAGGGTGCAGGGCAGGGTTCAGCCGAGATGCTCTGGTTTAGTTAGGGTTTAGGAATATGGGTAGTTCTCTAAATTAGGGCCCCTTTTGGGTCCCCAATATAGTACGGCACCCTTGGCCCGTGGCTGCCAGGGAGCCGCAGGGATTTGAGTTGGATGGCCGGCCGGGTTCACGCCTTCGGGTATTGAGTTTTTGTTGGGGCTTGTGGCGGGTCCACAGTTTCGGGGTTTCGAGGTTTGCGTGGGATTTTTGCGTCAGGGCTCCGGATGTGGTGGGATGCTTCATGCAAGCCTTACACCCTGAATCTTATGCGACCGTGAACCTGGCACCATACTCCAAAACAACTTACTAGTTCATAAATCGCAACTTTAAGAAAAGCTCTTCCTACAAAGTCCTTGAAAAGTCAACCGTAAACCGGAAGAGGTAGAGAGCCCTAGCGCAGCAGCCCGAGGTTGCCGAGTCGGAAGCTGCAGGCTGTGGCTTCTGGCCTTGTTGACCTTGAAGGGTTTCTTTACTTTAAACCCTAAACCCGAAACCCCAAACCCTAAACCGTAAACCCGAAACCCTAAACCCGAAACCCGAAACCCTAAACCCGAAACCCTAAACCCTAAACCCTATTTAAGGATTCCGTTAGGCTTTCGGGTCTCGGGTTTGGTTTCGAGACTTTGGGTTTAGGGTTTAGGGTTTGGGGGTTTGGGATTTTCGGGGTTTAGGGCCTGGTTTTGAGAGTTTTGGGTGTTTAGGATTGTGTAGGGCTGGATTTGGTTTTTGGTTTAGGGCTGTTTTTGGCTTTTGGTTTGGGGCTTCGGGTCTTTGGAACTGGCACGCATGGCTTCGCAGGGCATTTCGAGCGTGGAGGGTCTCGGGTTTCAAAGAAGGGCTTCCCAGAATCGTGCAGGAGTTCGTCTAGACTAAGAAAGGGGCCTTAATAATCACCTATACGATTCTGGGGGTTCCTTATTATAATTATAGTAAAATGGAGCCCAAAACCTTGTTCTAATTATTGAGGCCCCTATATTAGGTTTCCCTTACAGGTACATAGCCAAATAGGCCCCAGATCCGAAAGCCCTAAACCCCAAGGTAGTAACCAATGTCGTAACCCGATAGCAGCTCTTCTAGTAACCCTTACAGGAACCTGTAAAGGAAACCATGGATCCTGTCAAGTTGATTTCCCTTCCTTGTAGGCAGTCCACGGGCCCTTTCCGTTGTCCTGTTGCTCCTAAACCCTAAACCCTAAACCCTAAACCCTAAACCCCTTAACCCCTTAACCCCTAAACCCCAAACCGAAGCTCAGAATCCCAACACTGCTGCCCGAAAGCCCAAGTCCCAAGACCATCTCGGTCTTCCTCAGGGTAACCATAGGCCCCTTGAAGGAGTCAGTCCCTTTGCAAACCCTTGAGATAAACCCAATCAAAGCCCCGAGACCCTAAATCCATTAAACAGCACCAACAGCCTAATCTCTGAAACGGGGCTCGAGCCGCTAAACCTTGAACTGTGGGGTCATGCCTGTTTTGTTGGAGCTTCACCCCTGAATACTGGCTCAAATCCCTAAACCCTATAAACCCTACAGTAAACCGAAATCCTAAACCCTGAGTAACCCTAACTGCTTCTGCCACCGTCAGGTGCAGCCGCGGAGGATCCTGAAATCAGGCCGAGCCGGGCGGGGACGAGGAGGTTTGGGATTCGTACGATTTATGTAGGGTTTATAGGGTTTAGGATTTAAGTTTCAGGCGTCGATTCAAACCCGCGCGGGACCTTCTTCGCTCGGTGTGAGGATAGCAAACAAGGCCCCAAACTGAATCCGAAACGAGGGTGGCGTTTGAAGCCTACGGGGCGTGGTTTGAGGCCGGCTTCAGCCAGGTTTCAAATGCCAACCCCCAACGGCTTCAGCATGCAAGCAGCAAACGAACATGCTGCATGTTCGGGGTTCGACTCCTCACCTATCAGCTCGAAACTATCTGTCAACTTGCTAGGACTGTCTCCCGGAAGGCGCATCGTTTCTGATAGAGAGATGTTCACGCGCTTGCGGCGACAAGCCGAAGTAGCGCGTTGACATGTCGCCCACGTGGAGCCTAGTGACCTATAGTGCTTGGAATTCATGATGTCGTTGCCATGGCGTCCCTTGCGCGGCTGATTCTGTTGTGGAGCTGTGTGCCACCGGCGCTGGCCGCGTGTGATCCGTCGCTCAGTGACTCGTGGTGGGATGCGTGGAGAGCAAGCGGGGACGCCGGTGGCATCCGTCAGGTGGCGCTGACCAATCGCGATCGCTGTGCCTACATCGCTTTGATTCGGAGAATCCGCTCGGAATCGCCCAGCTTCAGGGTGTTGGACATTGGTGCAGTGGGGTATCCGTGGAGCATACATGCAGGGCTGACTGATGTCATTTTCGATTTTCAGGCCACGCATTCGCCGAACTGCTTTTCACGAGATGACATGATTGGAGCTCAGAATTGTTGTTCTTCCAAAGGTGACGCTTGTTTTGATCACTTGTTCACCCGTGAGCGATGTTGCCGAGGGGAACAACCCATTTTTCTAGGCTTGATCGATGGAGACGTAACCAACACCGAGGGTGCTGGTTGGGCAAGCTTGCTTCTTGCTTCAACCTTCTGTTTTCAGTTACAGTCATTGAATGCGCACGTCTCGGCATAGGATGCTTTGTCAATTTTGTGGTCATCGTTTCAATTGTTTTCGCGGTCTCGGGTTGTCAAGAAGGCCCTAGCAACCACTGCCCAGCATGTCTGGTTTCTGAGCGTTGGCGCTCCGAGTTGCCACATCATAATCCACGAACACCTGGGTTCAGCGGTTTAACGATCCCAAATCGGGCCCTCAGCACCAGCTTGATGCAACGTTCGTTCATTGCCTCTATGACAGGTTGCTGATGTATGCGCAGTTTCAGAACTCCACATGTTGACTCAGGTTCCGCTTGGTGCAGATGACTGGGAAGTTTGACTTGGTGATTACTTCGCACCTGTTGGAAGATTTGACGGATCCAACTGTTTCTTGGCTGAAAGTGTCTGCATTGGTCATGTTGACCCAAAGGTCCTACGCCTATTGCTTTGTCATGCTGAAACTCATAGGTCAGAATTCCTCGTAGTGTCTCAATGGGTCATCATTGTTGGTTAGGGTTTAGGGTTTAGGGTTTAAGGAATGTTGACCTCTGGCAGAGGCTTTGGTTCGGCAGCTTCCGAAAGTGGCGCATGCCGGGCTGGTGGTGGTGCCTTGCAAGTTCAACGAGTTGGTCCGAGAGTTTCATCACGCGCCCCTGTCGCGGGCGCACCGGGGGAGCATACACCACCATTGGATCTACACGGTGCGCGACCAGGAACTGCTGGCGATTCCGAAGTTGCCATACCTTGAGCATGATGAAAGTTTTGCTGATTTGGAGACCATTGGATTGAATGACACTTGGGTGCATAGGGGACGGATCCCAAGCTTATTGCATATCCTTTGTTTGGCGTAGCTTTTTTTCTGGTCTATACTGCGCTGCTCGTCCTAGTTTCGCACCAACATGATTATTGTTGATATGTCAGAAGAACTTTCCACCGCACATTGTGACACAGTGCTCAGTGTGTCAGGCGACCATGACCGACATGGCGTTGCTTTGGCGGAACCACTTGCCTATGGCTGTGCTCAATGGAGGCTTTATGGGTCCCTCGGACGACGCAGTGATTGAGATGATCCGTCACGCCATCAGGGGCCCTGACGACGTGGACGTGCTGCGTGGAGAGATGGAAATGGGTGAGAAAAACGACAGGTTCGGAGGGGAGATGTTTACTTCATCCCAGGGTTTAGGGTTTAGGGTTTAGGGTTTAGGGCCACAGCCTTCAAAGGAGGTCGCGTTTGTGCTTGAACTGCACTTATCCGAAGTATCGAATCCAGAATCGAAAGGACCATATCATCAAAAGCAGGCCCCCCATGTACCCTGGAAGTATGAATCCATAGCCAGGAAAGCCCCAAATGCGCCAAAGCCTAAACCCCCTGAACTTCACCCCCAAACCCCTAGAGCCTAAACTGTAAACCCCTCCTCACCCCTGAACAAAACCCATCCTGAATCTCAAGCTCCCGCAAAACGCACAAAGCAAAGGCCGCCGCCCCCGCCGACCGTCGCTGAAGCGAGGCCCTTTTGCCCACCAATGGGGTCACACTGCGTCGTCAATCCCGTTTCGGGTTTACTCATAGGCCCTGAAGTAGTTCCTTTTGGGGGTTCATATATAGAATCCTATACGGTATAACCCCAAAAAGGGAACTACTATGTATGCCTCTGGGCAGGCATACATGCTTTCATGCCCAAGAGCAACTACTGACCCTCAGATGTGCGCATGCACTCTGCTGGGTTGTCTTTTGGGATCTTTTTTAATTTCCCTTGCTATTTTGTAGAGAACCATAATAGTAAATAATTTTCAAAGGGCTTACAGGACAAGTTAGTCTGTTTGTTTTTGGGCTTCCTGTTCCTTCTCGCCCTTAAGTGTCACTGTTATCCCTAGCACTCCCAGCTTCTGGCCCCCCATGGGATCCTGCCATAGTTTAGGGTTTAGGGTTTAGGGTTTGGGTTTAGGGTTTAGGATTTAGGGTTTTTGGAAATGAGATAAGACCATGCAGTCGTCTGAAGCAGTGATGCCGCGAGTGGGAAGGGGGGGGAGAGTGGAGTTCTTAAAAAAAGAAGAGGGAGGCGGTCTAGGGGTGTGCTTAACATGGTATCAAGGCTCTTTTTCGTGTTTGGGATCCACATAATATGGGGGCCTCAATAATTAACTATACTATTTTGGGGGTTCCTTACTATAATTCTAGCATAATGGGCCCCAAAACCCTATTCTAACTATCAAGGCCCCTACATTATTTGTGGCTGAAGCTTGCAAATGAGTCGGTAGCCTTATAAGGGTTGTCGTTTAGACCCTGAAACGATAACACAGTAGGAAGGCCCATCAGTAATCCCGATACCTGCTAGGTCGTCCTAGCCACAAGCCTTCAACCCCAAACCTTTCGAATGAAACCCTAAACCCTAAACCCTATAAGCCCTTATAGGCCCTAATAAGCCCCAATAAGCCCCAATAAGCCCTAAGCCCAAAAGCATAAGCCCCAGGCCCTGAAGCCCAAAGGCCTAAACCCTAAGATTTGAACTCTAAACCCCAAGCCTTAAAGCCCTAAACCCTAAGCCCTAAAGCCCTGAAGTCCTAAAGCCCAAAAGCCTAAAACCTAAGCCCTAAATCCGAAACCCTACACCCAAACCCCAAAAGCCCTAAACTCTGAGCCCTAAAGCCTAAACCCTAAACCCTAAACCCTAAGCCCAATAGCTCAAAAGCCCAAAAGCCGCCTGGGCCAGATGCGATCCCGCACCTCCGCCCCCCATCTCGCGGCTGAGCCCTCAGTATTTCAGTCCCTAAACGAGGTAGGGGTTTAGGGGTTTAGGGGTTCAGGGTTTAGGGGTTCAGGGTTTAGGGGTTCAGGGTTTAGGGGTTTAGGGTTTAATCCAGCAGCCCAGACCCCCAAACCTCTGAACTCCCAAGCCACATGTTTCCGAAAGGGAGCTTCATATCTGGGGCTGGTGTCAGGCTTTCAGGCTGTGCGGTTGTCAGGCTTAGGGGTTGCTCGAGGTTTGAGGGTGGGGGGTTGAGTAGCAACCCTTTGCCGTAGAGTCGGTTTAGGGTTTAGGGGTTTAGGGTTCAGGGTTTAGGGTATACCCCGTAATGTAGAACACTATAGTGGGCAACGAGGGAATCCCAAAAATCCGCAACTCTCTGAGTTTTACAGTATACTTCAGCTGAGGGAGGTTCCTGATACAGTAAAGGATCCCTGTTAAGCTTCCAGGGAATATGCCTTGAATCAAGGGATCCTTATATGAAGAGTGAAGGAATACGTTCCTTTCCTTAATCAAAGGATCCAGTTGCTCCCTAAACCCTAAACCCTCACCCCTAAACCCGAAGCCCTGATTCGACGCACACGAAGGCCCCATTCAGAACAGCTCGCGGAGCCCGTGACGCTGCTGGCGACAGGGCGGCCTGGGTCAGAGGGCTCCGGTTTCCGGTTTAGGGGTTGAGGATTCCTCCTAAAACCCTAAACCCTAAACCCTTAGGGGTCTCAGTGGGAACCCTGAGTCGTTTGGTTCTTTTGGGGTGATGGGCTTTGGGGCTTTCGGTCTCGCTTTGGGGCTTTCGGTCTCGGGGTTTCCGGACTTCGGAGCATGTGGGTAGACAAGAATGGGTTTAGGGTTTAGGGTTGAGGGTTTAGGGTTTGGGGTTTGGGGCTTTAGGGTTGAGGGTTTAGGGTTTAGGGTTCAGGGTATGTGTGTGATTTCCTGATGTACGTAGGACGTTCAGGCTGA